TTACAACTTAGTCAAAGGATTACCATTCTAAGTCAGATCTATAGATTGACAAGTCCAATATCCTGACTCCTGAAAATTATACCAAGAGACAATATGGGAACAGCAGACTGTCCTCAATAATGTCACCTTGTTAGAATATGAACATACACATGTCATGCAGCCCAAATTTCTCTTCCTGTATCAGTTATCTATTGCTATAATAAGATTATAAAAGAAACAACCAAAAGCCTTGATGGCATAAGCACTTATTGTTTATATGCCTAAACTCACTGGGGTTGGCAAGCAGCTCTGCTTATCTTGGCTGGATTTGCTTACAACTCTAGAAGTTGGCTTCTCCTTGGGCAACTAATCCACATGTCTCACATTTTTAGTTGGCTAGATCAGGCAGGTTCTCTTGGCAAAGGTAAAGGTGCAAAGGCAAAGCCCCAGTATTCAAGACCATTAAGCCTCTGTTTTCATCATGTCTGCTAACACAAAGTTACACACATGATGAAGGACATAGTCGCATAACCTGCAGTGGGGTGGCAGCACAAAGTGACATGACCTTGGACATTATTATAAGGAAGGATGAAGAACTGAGTCTATCAGTGCAATTGGCCGTAATTCCTTAACCCACAGTGGATCTACAATCCATACATTTGCTTAAATACTTCTTATAGGGCTGGTGGAGTGGTTCATGTGGCTTAGCAAGTGTGAGGCCTTGAGTTCAAACCCCAGTACCACAAAAAAAAAATATTTATAGTTTTAAATGCCTTGCTTTTTTTTTTATTAAAGAACGGTCCGGTTTTACAAGTCTTATCAGTTTTACCACCTGTAGTGTAAATAGCACTTCCTTCTGTTTACTCTAAATTGATCTCTGTGGAGCTTTCAACTGTTCTACCTTTCTAATCTAAAGAGATTGGGCCCATATAACTGTGAATACTCTATCCTTTGTTCCATGTCAGAGTTTTTTCTCTCTTTTATTTTCTTTTTGAGTGAGATTTTATGCAGCTTCCAGCTCTCTCTGACATCCTTAAATTATTCTGACTGCTTTTTTTGATGAGACAGTGTCCATTTCTAAAATTCTTTCTTTATACATGACCACCAGCATTATGTTTCCAAAGGCATGAGATAATGTTCTCTCTCTTATTTCCAGAACCTTCTAAATTATTCTAACCCTTGTGGTCTTGGGAACTTATTCAGTTAAAGTCTTCAAGAGACAATCCTGAAAGATGTCTAGATCTTTTCTTCAGTCAAAGGTGATTTCTTCACCATAAGAAGAGGACTAAGGTAGAAAGGAGAAAAATAGAGGGAATGAACCAATTCAGGTTATAATACATATATACATGGAAATGTCACAAGGAAACTCTCTGTATAGCTACCTTAAACAAACAAAAATGCCTGTTTTCAAAAACAAAGAACAGGAAGGTAAAACAGGTGCTGTGTGAATTGGTACTAGTGGGAGAGGGAGGATATAAGGAAAGGGTGTAGGAGGGTGAATATAGTGGAAATATTCTGTACTCATGCATGAAAATGGAAAAATGAGACCTGTTGAAACTATTCCAGGAATGGGGGGGAGGCAGGATAAAGAAGAATGATGGAGGGGGTGAATTCAACAATGATATATTGTAAGAACTTCTGTAAATGTCACAATGTACCCCCAGTACAACAATAATATGATAATAAAAAATAAAATTTAAAAAGTGAGTTCTTATGGCTTATCAGACCCCAAGAATAGCCAATATATATACAATCTGGATTTTCTAGACTAGTTCCAATTTATAGAATTTTACTGTATATCACAACTTTTGATGGCAAGATTGTGCTTTTGTTATAGCTTGGATCATTTTTTTCAAATACTTGCCTATGCATTAATGATCTACATAAAACCTGTTTGGGGCATATTATAAATATTTATTTTATTAGAGAACATTTTCAGAATCTGCAAAACCTCTTTGAGGTAATAAACCTATTAAAAAGCCAAGATTAGAAACACCAAATGGCCTTAAGATATTAATTGCAATTTCAAATATTTTACTTGTTTTCAGTTAAGAGATAGTTATTGTTGATCAAATATTAAGCACTGGGAATTACAGTACCAGTTATTTTCTCTGTCCAATAAGTTCATTTATAGTTAACCCAAAAGAAAATAAACTAGATCATCAGATAGTCTCATTAAAATAAATCCACACTGCTTGTTAATTTAGTGAATCAGTGCATATCTTATAAGAACAGATGCTGCTCTGTAATAAAACAAAGGGTAAAGTCAGTAGTATGTAAATTTATGGGAACAAATTCTCCCCTTTGTGCAGGAAAGGCTTGCTGTCAAAATACACAGACAAAGGTTGATATTTCTTAATTCTTGACCCTGAATTCTCTGCTGATGGCAGGTCAAGAAGTGGCAAAGGAAGGAACATTATGGCTGTTTCTGGGAACTGCGTCACCCCCAAGTTCATATTCTCCCAGCAGCTGTTCCGTGAATCTCAGAAAAGTCTCAGAGATGGGAGAGTCTCACTTCCCCCAGATTTGACATTTTCAGGGACTATTAAAAACTATCCAACTTGAGGGTGTAGCTCAGTGGTACAGCACTTTGCCTAACATGAACAAGACCCTGGGTTCAATCCCTAGCACTGCAAAAAAAAAAAAAATTCAAAAAGTACCCACTTGACAGAGCAGCGACACTGTGGGCTTTTCAGAATGCAAAACCCCCGAATAATAGTATTATCATTGTCAACATCAGTAAAGAGAAGAATAAGTGCTAGGCAAAGTATCAAGTGTCAAGGTCACACACACATATCAATAGCATTCCTGTATAGTTTATACTATATTAGTAAGATTATGATCATAATTTTACTCAGTTTACAGATGAGGCAAATGGAAGGAAGTTAAGCCACTTATTCAAAACCTTCAACTTATAAGATTCAGAGGTAGGATTTCAACCGAGGCTATCTGGCCTCAGAGTCTACACTTACTGTATGAGATACTTATACATGCTCACACCACAAATGAATTCACTAGCTGTGTATAGTGTACCATAGCTCAGCAACCTGCTCGTCTTGGTACCTCTTGTGACATCTGACACAGTGTCCAGTGCATTAGGGAATCTCAATACATGTGATCAGAAAAAAAGAGGGAGGAGCCATTTCCCTCCCCACCTATTACCTCCCCCCTCAGGTAAACTCACGCAGGTGCACCTGAGTGAATGAATGCACCCTTTACCACTGCTTGAAGGAGATATCCAGTCACTTGCTTGCTTTTCCAGTATAACCACACTTAGTGATTTATACTCTTTCATTTCCAGTCTTTGCTCTAATCTACCTGTACAATTAAAAAATAACACTTTGATTTCAACAAACATCACTACATCTCATTCTGAAACATGATTTTTCCACATCTGGGCTCCCAACAGAGCTGTTATATGCCTCCTCAAAAAATCCTTAGCTCGTGAGCTGGGAGCATGGCTCAAGTTGTAGAGTATCTGCCTAGCAAAAGGGAGGCTTTGAGTTCAAACCCCAGTACCATCAAAAAAGAAATAAAAAACCCTAGCTCCCAGGTTTGTCTCCTGGCTGGCTCACTATATTTGGATATCTTTAAATCTGATCTTCAGGCTGGTAGAGTGGCTCAAATGGTAGAACACCTACCTAGCAAGTGTGTGGCCCTGAGTTCAAACCCTAGTACCACAAAAAAAAAAAAAACTCCCTCCCTCCCTCCTGCCTATCAAGCTGATAACAATGATGTCTTACGGTTCTCCTATGCCCACAAGCATGAGGCACCATTCTGGTAGTTTTGTGTATTAATTTAGTCTTCATAGCAACCCAATACAGCAGGTATGAGTATTATTTTCTTTTTCACAGATGAAGAAACTATGACCCAGAGAGTCTAATTAACTAGCTCAAGTTCATTCAGCTAAAAAGTGGTAGGCCAGGATTTGGGGATGTAGGTAGTCTGGCTCCAGAACTCTTAGTCATGGTGCTAGCATACTTTTGTCATCACAATGACCCTTCATCTGAAAATTAAAACAGAATATACTGCAGCCACCTCAAGCCAAAATCAAATTTAAAAATGAAATAAAAAACTATAATAAAGAGAAGAGAAGTAAGATCAAAGTGTGAGACAAGAAAAAGCAACTTGTGCTGTCCAAATCTCCTAGGTTTCCTTGAGCTTTAGAAAAATAGACAAAAATATCTTGGGATTTCAAATGAGGCAACAGTTCTTAGATTGGATCTGTTCAGTAAATGGCAATAATTTAATTTAAACATACAACATACTAATCACTTGAAAAAATAAGCTTCCAAGGTGGATTTTTTAAAGAAAGCATTCTGAATAAATGACACAAAAATCTTTTCTTAAATAATCATTCCATTTTATATTACTTAAATGTGTAAAAATATTGCTTTGGGATCTGTGAGAGAAAAAATTCTTAAACCCTTGAACTTGTCAAACAAACATCTAAACTCTAGAAGTTTTCAGAACTAGTTTAAATATAGTTTTTCTTGGAGGGCTCTTCTGTAATCTTTGGAAGTCTCTCAGAGTTCTGTGACAATGAAAGAAGGAATTACCAAATCCAGTCTCACCTAAACCATGGTTAGATTAATTACTAGCTGATGCCTTCAGTAAACCTCCAGTTGCATTTTTTTTTCACTTAATATGTCATTTGTAGTCTTAGGTATTTCATTGACATTATTAGCTAGAGAAAAGTATTAGCTCAATAACTTATGGCAACTCCATGAAATATTTTGAAACACTAACTATGATGAGAATTATGATGGTAACTTTATAAAGTATATTCACTTGTTTCTAGAATCTGGACTAAGACCAGTGAGTTATTTTGTAACAATTTTCCAAATGAACTCCAAGGTCAATTAAGTTTAGTCATCTGGGACTCCAGAATCAGAGATACAGAGGTAAACATCCAACCTCACAGTTCAGAGATTTCTTTGATTTATCTATTCAGTTTTATAGGCAATAATTTTAATCTTTAAGAAGCAACAAATATCCCCTCTGTAGCCATGAGAACTCACCATCTTTTGGGCATTCTCCTCAGTAATATTAGTGTTATAATTCCAAGAAGCAAGTGAACTTTCATAAGACAGGTCTTCAGCTTTTTGATTAAAGTTGTCCAAAAATATCTTGGTCTGTTCCTCGGTGGTGGACTGAGCAGCAGTTACAGCAACAAGGCTGAGAAGAAGCCAGGAAGAGCCTAACATCTTTCCCCGTGCATCAAGATCCCATCCACTGAACAACTTTCCCTAGAGTAAAATCTCCTCGTGAGTTTTTCTCTCTCATCAGCCTTTGAACTTGGGTTGGGCACTGATGAGGGAAGACAAAAAAAAAAAAAGAAGGAAAAAAAGAACAAAACAGTAAACAATCTGCTGAACTAATATAATGCTAATCCTGGAGAGGATAGATGTGTAAACAGATTTTAGAATGATTTTTTAAAGTAAACCAAATAAAGACATGTTATTCATTAATCCTGGAAAACCTTAGCTCTCCTAACACTTTATGGCCAAATCAAAACTTGGACATTTGGTTAATATGTTCCTAAAAAGTTGTTAAAGATACACTGGGGGGTGTTATGATTTTATAATAATGAGAGGGGGCTAGGATTAGGGATCATGAGGGTAAGGTTGGCATTTATATGTTTTTCTGACGATTCCATTAATAGTTATCCCTCCCTTATGTTTATTTCAAGAACATTTTCACAGAAATTCACTACTTAGGTAGCATTTTCCCTTCAAATAAATGACTTTTCTTTTGCCTTTATGGAACTCATTTTTCTGATCAATTTTCATTTTCATGGCCATTTTAAAAAATTGTGACTATTCTCCACTACACAGCTTAGCTCTTCTGATCTGACTCTGGAAAACTCAGAAAGGCTCATTTTCTATTTCTCAGATGAACATGGTAAACTCTAGTTCCATGGCAAGTTCATTGAATGCCTCCTTCCCTTTCACTTACCTCTTCAAAACTCAGTTGAGATCACAAGGAAGTAATAATGCCTGTGCACAAGATGAAATCTGAAGGGCATCCATGTCAAGTCCCAGTCCTCCACAGGTATGGGATCATAGCAATAGAGAGTGCAAAATGATTTTAGTGTTATCTTGTTGAATCTCAAGAGTTGGCTCAGTCTTCATTCCCAGGGTGTCACAGATAAAAGGAGCCACTTTAAACGGCAGGGCTCATAGGCCTGCTTGGTTGTGATTATGAAACCTTTGCACAGAGAAAACATTTCTTCACCTAGAAAAACAAGTCTTCCAGGTTCACATGAAATGGTAATAACCAAGCCTTAAAAAATTCCACTAAACTTTATCCTAAAGTTCTATATATTATGGTAGAATAGGAAAAAGCAACAGTTGTTCAAAGTGCTTCCTGTCATAATGTTTAATAAAACATTATAAATGTTTTATTTATGCTTAAATATAAGCATCACAACAAAACTGTAGGCAAATAGTTTTCAACTCCATTTTATGGATTAGGAAACTGATCTTAAACAAACTGCCAAGACTCAGCTAATAATTGGTTAAGCAGAACATGGATCCATACAGACTGACTCCAGCACAGGCCCTTAACTAAGATGTAGAGTTTAATCTAAGAGCAGCAATGGAGCCACAAGTAAAGAGCAGCAGAGGGACTGATGCCATTAGTGAAGATGATGGATTTAGTTCCACTACATCAACTGTGAATGAAAATATACTGCCTTTTGAAGAAATAAGCAGTTTGCAGATTTAACTAATAACTTAAACAATAAGAATGTTTAAAGAAAACGAGACAGGGCAGGGGAATCAGTGCCGACATTTTAGTAAGGCTCCTCCCACACTCAAGGAAGCAGAAATCCACTCACTTCTTACAGGCAACAGAAAAGAGAGCAGCACCTGAGTCTCTGAACAAAGATGTTACACAAACAAAAGTTGAACCTCTACTTAGATAACTTCCTGAATTAAATACGTGGAGTTGGGAGGGGAATGGAGTAGTCCAAATTCAATCCACTGAGGCAAAAAATAAGATTAACATGATCAAAAAGAAGATACAAAGCAAAATACAGAAAGCAAGATACAAAATCCAAACTAAAAATAGACAAGAAGCTTGAGATAGCAGTAAGGCAGGAAAATGTTGGATGTCAAGAAACATTGAAAGCAAGGGAAGTGGAAGAATTATCTGTAGGAAAAATAGCTCATGAGGAGAGCCAACTAGAAGCACTTACTCAATTGTTGGCATTTCTTTTCAGTCTCCCTAAAGAAGATGCCAATGTTCTCATAGTTACCTGCAGGTGTTTTCTCTAAGCTCATTCTAAGAATGAAAAGAATCCACTAAAGGATGGACGGTCTAAAAGAATGTATTGTCTTTGGGAAAGAATAGAGAACTGAAAAAAAAACATTAGAAGACTGAGCAGGCAAGAAGCTGTTTGAAGTTTCAGAAGGACTAGAGATGTGGGTGCATTTCACAAAGGGTAGAGTGAAGCATTTGACCTTGACAAAACTATAAAATATATTTTTAGGGGCCGGGTATGGTGGCACATGCCTATAATCCCAGCTACTTAGGAGATAGAGATTGGGAGGATTGTAGTTTGAAGCCAGCCTGAGCAAAAATTTAGTGAGACCCTATCCAAAAAATAACTAAAAAACAAAAAAAAGGACTGCAGGTAGGTTCAAATGGTAAAGTACCTTTCTAGAAAGTATGAAGCCCTGTGTTCAAACCCCAGTGCCATAAACACACACACACACACACACACACACACACACATATACATATATAAATAATTTTTAGAATATGATTTGCACTTGGAAAAATGAATGTCTGGTCTATTAGGGATTCACTAGGAACAAGTCATATGCTGCCTGCCTTATTTCCCCTCTGACAAAAGAATAGAGTAGTTTAAGAAAAGAAAGAAAGAAAACAAAGACATGGTGCATCTTCCATTTCAATGAGGAATTTAGCAAAATGTAGTACTATGACTAAATCCAAAACAACCGCAGTAGAGATTAGGCAATCCTATGGTCAACGACAATTCATGTTCAAAACAACAAAAATCTTGATTCAACCCTTATTAACTGACTACCTGCTATGTGCCAGAGCCTATTCTAGATACTGGATATACACTCATATGGAAGGTAGAGGAAGCAAACTAATAACTGGTGATAAATGTCATTACTTACAATAAACAGGGAATGAAGGAAAGACCATTATAAAGTGCAGAGAGAGATTTTCTATAAGGAGAGGCTCTCTGAGAAGGTGACATTTGAGCAGAGATCTGAAAGAAAGTGTGAAAGTCCTGTGGATATGTGAGGAAAGTTTTCCAGGCAGAGGGAATAGCAAGCACAAACAGCTTAGGCAGAATTCACAAACATTAGAAGCCTATGTGGCTGGAGCCCATTGTGCCAGGAAAGGGGCAGGAGATGAGGTTGAAGAGGAAAGTTGAGGCCATGCCGGGAGGGCCTTGAGGAAAATTATAGGACTTTGGCTTTTACTATGAGGAATGTGGCAAACAATGGAAGGCTTCAAGCAGAAATGTTATATGGCAAAAGTTTCACAGGGTCAGTCTGGCTGCTGCATAGAGAATAGATACAAAGGAGGTTGAGAGTGGAACCATGGAAACCCGCCCAGTCAAACTGGTTGAATAAAAGCTTAATGTGAGCTGTAAATTCAACTTGGATGTCCTGCAAACACGAATCCATCTTAAACTATCTTCGACTTTATTAGTAGAAGAATTAGATACAAAATAATCTAGAGCATCTTGTTCAAGTTTAGAGAGACAAAAGAGAGTATGCAGAGGAAAATAAATAAGATAGTAGGTGGATTCGAAGAATAGTTCAGACATGGAGAAGAAGACAGTTCTCCTCCATTCTGGTATGATAATTTAGAAGAAGACATAGTTCACACAGTGGATTTACTCTGCCGCTTGTCGGCTGGGTGACTTACCCTCCCTGTACCTAGCTTCTTTATTGCAAAGCTCTTGGTAACAATATACCCACCTCATAAGGATGCTGTATTTATGAGTTAATGCATGAGAACAATACCAGAAGCTACTAAAATGAAAAGATCAGGGTAATAATTATTACACTTCCATATTAAAATGTTTAAGCAAACCTTCTGTCAGGTCATCTTTCAAGGACATGGCAACAGAGATTGGCTGAGAGTTTGATTCAAAGCTTCATTTGAACTGTAGGATCCTACATTGTTGAAGTTTGCTAGCCTATACTGAAATAGTAGGAGAGAGGAGTTTGCCTGTGGAATGAGCAGAGTCATTTGTGAAAGAAAAAGGGAGTCAGCCAGAGTCTGCATGAGCCTAGCTGTTGGCAAACTGACAGGTGCTCTAATCACCTAATTCTGGACAGGTCCTGGTATAAAATCTCCTGCCTACGGAAAGGAGAAAACTTGAATTTGAATCCATCACTGCTGTCTTGAGAGAAAAGGAAATGTCGTGAATATAAATGACTCCCCCCCAGTACTTACAGCTACTATCTTTGCAATTGCATGTGCTTTCCACGAGGCTCTGTATATAAATTCTTTACAACAGCATATATAAGTAAAAATTGCGTGATCATTGTATAATTAAGGAAGCCAAGTTTCCTAGTGCTCTGATGACTGGCCCAAATTCCCACAACTGATAGGTAGTGGGGTTGGGTTTTTATTCTAGGCTGCAAAGAAATATCTTCTCTCCATGGAATCCTAGCTTCAGTCATCTGCTAATCTCACATCTAAGTAAGTCCTCATCAGCCAAGCATATTCTGAGAATAAGCAGGCCTCGGTAAGCAAAACTAAAATGTACTGCTTTGATTGTATATTTTAAAACCATTTTTAGTAGAAATTTTTCTAAAATAGATTCTATCCTAGTTAGGATGGAATGTTGCCTGGATGCTATTTTATGTGGTTTTGGTTTGTTTGTTTTTTTTTTTTTCAGATGAGTCAGTGTATTTATCTTGAACATTGTTCACAGACAAGGCTATAACATGACAACGTCTCCAGGGCTTTACATTAAGTGGTTCCAGTTTTATTCCTACTAATTCTACTGTCTCTGCACATTCTGAGTTCATAGTCATTTCTTATAGTATCAACTTCTAGTAGCCCTGCCCACCACAAATCCCCTCCCTGTTTTTGATCTGCTATCTGCTAAGACCTAAATGGAAACTAGATAACCATGGAGTTCCATCAGAAAGCTCCCTTCTCATAGGCTCAAACCTGAGGGTGGGTCTTCACTTTGCTGGAGCAAAGTACATAGACTTTGAGATCCACATTTCCCTTACTGCTCAACTTTTTATGTATTTCCAACTGAGTCACAAATGGTGAGGTTTCCTAGTAGCAATAGCAAAAACTTCTTCCAGTTCCCCAAGTTGCAAACATCAAAGTAAATAGGATGTTTTGTGCAACTTCTTATCTTAAAATTGATTAAGTAAT